AACAGCAGGACAACATCAGGCTCTGCATTTGGAATTGGTGGAGCTCCAAATCCTTGAAAATATTTCACCTATCTGGGAAGAAGAAGAAAAAGTTTTGGAAGTGAGGAATAGATGTTGACCACAAAATGAAACTGTTTAAAGACTTGCTTAAGTTTGATTCATTTATTTTACAATGAATAAATCATAAATCCACACCGTATGTAATGCTTTGCTGTGAGTGCCCTCGGAAAGCCGGGCATGATTAATAGTAGCAGTCAAAGCGGGGTTAGAGTAATTGATTGTCCATTTGTTTTTGTTGTTTTTTTCCTGTGTAAACATTTTAAATCTGCAGGAAGGTGATAAATTAACATCATGTTGCTACAAACTATTTTATAACGCTGTTCTATAGATCTACAGTTTTGCTTTTCATATCATTAACAGTTGTGTGCATTTTGGTGATGTTGTATAAAGTTAAAAGTGTGCTGAACATTTTTATGTGCATAAACAGGGCTTGTGACCAAATAAATAAATGAATGTTTAAAAAAACCAGGCAAAACAGCTTTCAGCCTCCAACAAACACTTTTACACCATCCTCCTCAACATGTTATTGTCTGCATTCGATTCTGCTGATCAGGGTATTTCTCGGTTCAGATGGGCCCTGGGTTATCAACCTTTGCCTCTGCTCTGTGGACACTCACACACTGACGTTGCTTCTGTCGTATAGCCACATTGCATTCTGTCTGCAGTCCTTACATCCCTCTCTGACAATGGCACATTGCTGCCCCAGCAGGTCAGCTGTTCAAATCCCAAGCCCCCAAACTGTTTGATCACATTTACCCGCCTCTTCATAAATTCACCTGCATTTTGTCACTGTCAAGTTACAGCTTCGACACCAAGATTAAATGGATTATTCCTTACACAATATTAACGGCCAACGTGTCTTTGAGGAAGGCTTTCCCCCTTTTTTGGTTTTTTTTTTTTTTTTTTTGTCCTACTCAAAGTGAGTATTCGCAGTCTGGAGTCCAGGCGCTTCATTACTTCTAGTCAGCTAATTGCTCACAGATGTGTGTTAAAAAGAACAGCCTCTTTGGGAAATTAAAGGTTTCTTCTTGAATGTCAAATTCTTAAAGCATGGGAATTTGATATTTTATTACAGGCATGTACAAAAATGAAATGTTATTAAAAAGAAAATCAATCTATTCAGAATTTATGTTTACTTAAATTAAATTAGTTGGCAGATTTTGTTGCTTTTCAGTAACCAAACCCTGTTTAAGTTGTGAAATCCTCCAAGTAAACAATTCACACCTGGGGTGTCCATTTCATTGTCAGAGAATCATGTAAAGGTTAGAATTTCTTAAGCTGTTTGATCAACCTGACCTCTGAGAGTTCTTCACACTCAAAGAGGAAGACCAAAGTTCAAAAAAGTGCTGCTGTGGTTTTACTGAGCCTTGAGGGGGGACACACACACACTGTACTCCCATCTCTCTGAAAAATGAGCTTTGCCCGCAGGGTGAAGACCCTCAATCACGATGAAAACGCCAATCCTAAATCAGACGTGTTCAGCCATTTAACAGGCTAATGTTACCTTGAGTTAAATAAAACCATCCGTTGTGACTTGGATGCTCCATGTCAGATTATCTCCCAGCTTTCCTTGTGTGTCAAAGGTTTCCAGTATGTTCTGCGAATGCCAGTTCATGTTCAGCTCATGACAGATGAGGTGCTGACTGAGAGAAAGGCAGGGTGGTATGCTGGCAGATGGAAGCCTTGGAGGCTTAGAGGTAAAACTGAAATAGCCCTGCTGCTGCATTACATCACAACTGACTTCATCGTCATGCCGGCCGTTGCATCATGCAACCACCAAAGGTGTCACGAGGATAGGTGCAGCTGCTGCAATGGTTGAACTCTCTCAAGTATATCGACTGCACACCTCACTTCCAAAACGAACAAAAAGCTGCACAAGCGTTTTTTTTGTTGTTGTTTTTTCTTGTCGACAATTGTCCACATCGGACGCAATGTGTTGTTTTTTTTTTAATCACTCCGCTAATATGACAACAAAATGTGTCTGCTTAATATATTTCAGATGCATTTCACAGACATCACAGTGTAACTCATGCAACAACAAAAAAAAGAGGAAAAACTTTTTTTTTTTTGACAATTTAGTCAAAACCACAACCACATCAGAGTCAGGCAGCTGGGCACTGAGCCAGTGTGATGGAGAAATCGCTCAAATGCTGATTTTCTAGATGTCTAGCCATCGAACATGGCAAACAAGGTTTTGAAACTATGCTTCATTTGAGCTCAGTGGTGGGATCAGTTGCAACAATTTACTTAGCAGGAACGCATGCTTCTTGATTCCCAAGCGGAAGAACAAGTTAGTCTACGTGTTAAACAGGTCCAAGTATTGTTCCCATGTCGGCTGTTAACAAGTCCGCCCAGGATGCAAATATTAATAGTAGCAGACTCAACAGTAGCAGACAAAGCACACGGTGGCTTGTGAACCTTTTCATATTTTCCCACATCACAACTATAAACAGTGAATCTCATTAATATTTAATGTGGCTAACACAAAGCTCTGTGTAATAGTACAGTGGAAGGAAAATGATGCACGGTTTTCGAAAATGTTGAAATATGAACAGTGTGGCGTGCATGTGGGTTCAACTCTCCTAAGTCAATACTTTTTGTAGAACCACTCTGCAGCTCTGCACATCTATAATGAACTCTACTCTTTGAAAAACAGCTCATGCTCAGTTTTGTTGGATGGATGTCTAGGTTAGGGTCTAAACTTTGGCTGGGCCATGTTAACTCATGAAGATTCTTCTATCTAAACAGTCCTGTTATAGATCTCGTGGCATATTTAAGAACTTCGTACTGATAGGTGAATTTACACCCCAGTTTAAAATCGTTTGTTGCTTCTGCCAGGATTTCTTCCAGGATTATCCTGTATACACAAAAAAAGCATGTGATACTTTAAAATCAAAGACACGTCACACGAAATAATGAAAATTTCAACATTTTGCGATTACAAAATGTTCTCGACATTTTGTTGCTGTAGACTTTACATACCCTCAGGATGCTTTTTGCATGTGATTCAGATGCGTTTTGTGGGTTTAAATGGCCTAAGGTTACTTAGAGAATCATGTGCTTCACACACATGGAACTGTTCAGCCGACTGACGCTCGTTTCATTCAACTCAGAGAGAGCTCCAGCCAGACAAAATGAAGAAAATGACCAGCAAATCCCAGAGGGTACACCCAGGTATGGGAACAGGGAAAGTTTCCATGAAGACCAGCTAAACATTGAGAATTAAAAAAAAAAAAAAAAAAATAAAACAAATGTCAACAAAATAACAGCGTCGTCCTTTTAGGTCCATTACTGACAGTATGTCAGTAATGGAAAATAAACATGAGGAGTTGTGTTTTCTTGGCGCTGAATAGTTTTAGATGCATGGAAAAAAAAAAAAAAAAAAACACCTATTGAAGAATGGAAATGAATGGAAGTTGACAGCATGAGAACCAAGCATGAAATCCTGCTCTGTATTTGAAGTCAACACCATGAAGGGTTTCTTCAGGACTGTGCACTTGGCCGGAATGACAGAGAGAAACTGTGCCATGAGTCATGCTGGCAATAATTATGGTGTGGCCCCGTCAATAGACGCCTGAAAAACTCTCATACCAGCCTGTCGATAAAAGGCCCTGCTGGATGATAGATCTGCTTCAGCAGAGCTGCTTAGAAGTAACACAGGAATATAAATGGACCACAACACAACAACAGGACACTTTGGGAATATTCTCTCTGGGATCCAGTTGGAGCAGAGACAGAGGATGAGCATGACTGCCACTATCACCAATCAGGGGTTTGCTTTATTGGTCGGATTACATCACCCACCCCTCTAGCTCCATGTGATAATGTTTCAGGAACACTGGGCACACAAACTTGGCCATGTGCTTCTGCATCCTCACTGCCAAAATAAGTCAGCACTTTCTAATACAGTGTGGCTACAGTTTCACTTCATCCTGGCCAGGTATTGTAGGACGGCGATGAGCGTAACTTGTCAACAAGACCACAGATTGTTAATATGTAGGCTGCTTGTGATGCTGCCGTGAGTCAACTTTTGGTATTATTTTTTTGGGGGGGGTGGAGAGGGTAGGGTGCTGCAACTGTTTGAATATCGTAACTCTCAACTATGAGTCATTTTAGGACACAGTCGAGTGCAACACAAAGGCAACAATCTTGGGACAAAGCACAGCAAAAAGAAAACTGGCTCTTGAGTCTCTTTTCTTGTGAACTTACACAAACATTTATTTATTAAGCCATCCGCAGTGGTGTGAAAGGAAATGTGTGAGCCGATTTGCATGGGGGAGAAGGATGCTGATGGTGACCACGAAGAAGAGGTTGAGTGGGAGGAAGACAAAGATGAATGAGGTCATGGTGAAACTGTGCATGGTGTCAGCTGCTTGGTCATTCACCAATTACTCATAATCAAGTCCATCTTTCCAAATAAAATCGAAAATCATACCACAAACTTAAGTTTCTTCTCAAACGTCATAATTTCGAATGAAACATCGTGAGGGTTTTTATGAAAATAATCTCACCATTTCTGTTCAAGTAGGAGCTCAAGTAGAAAAGGTAGCCTGCACATGTCAGCCCATTCATTCCACTGGGACACATTACAGTACGTGTCTCTTGTTTCAGAAAGCCGGTTGGGCCTATTGGAGCGAACCCAGTTATATGCTACAGAGCTGGAGCACTTTAAATTCTCCACTTTCACAATGACAACTCCGCTACAAACAGCAGCAAATGGCACAGAACACAGTGTCCCAAAGTGCTACCTGCCACCTGAATCTTAAGGGTTCCCAACGCTGACCAGTTAATTGGCCAGTAAATTCAATCGACTTTGAACGAGCTCGTTTCCTTCTTAATAATCACGACGCTGAGCGCTTCTTCCGACCGCTGCCTGCCTACCTTCCGTATGGGGCGACCACGGCAGCAGACAGTCACGATAAAAAAAAGACACAACTCACCCTTAAAACGTCCAGCAGTATAAGAGATATCCTTATTCTGAGATTCACAGGCAGCAGATCACCGGTTGTTACATTATCCTAACAGCGGCGCGGCAGCAAACGGGGTTTTTCTCTCCCCCCCCCCCCACCAAACAGATGTGTGATTTTCTTCTTTTCCTTCTTCTTTCTTTTCTTTTCTTTCTTTTTTTTTTAAATACCAGTACTGGTGCCGTGCGTAAAATCCAATCGCTTCAGCGTTGGTCTCAGCTGCGGCGCAAGCGGGGAAATAGGAGGGTGTAACAGGGATGTGGCTGCTGTCCGCTCCCCTTCTCTCCTACGGACGGAGCATTTCCACGCTGCTCCATGAAGCGAGCGACCGAAGTTCCCTCTCTGCCGCCGGTTGTAGCCTAATTCAGTTTCGTGGAGAGCCAGCCCCGCCCTGGGCTGAAGACGGTCTGACGGAAAGGCGAGCCCGAGGAGCGCGTTAGCCAATCGGTGAGTACACGGGGAGGCGCTGCTTCTCCCGGTTAACTATCGGGGTGACTAAGCGTTATCATCTGTCCGTTTGGATTCAGGCAGCGAAAACATTTAACCCTCTCTATAAAGGTTCACTGCTTATGTTGGAAAAAAAAAAAAAAAAAAAAAAAAATCCCAGAGCGTTTTTTTGGGGCACAAAAAAGGGGTTTAAACCATTTAAAAATTTATTTCA